AGTACTCTGGCCTCGGGGACCCTGGGTACACCCACAGGACAGCTCAGAAGATTGCTTCTTTCACTCACATCTTAATTTACACCACAAATGGCTAATTGTTAATCCCTTCAGCAAACTTCAAATGATAACCCATGGAAGTACTTGAAGTTAGAAATGGAAAGTTAGAATTTGTCCAGACCACACAGTTGAGAAACCTTGATGGCTCTGGGGGGAGGAGGGTCTGGGATCATATGTCATCCTGAGACGGAGGTCATCTGGGAGCTGCGCGTCCAGACAGAGCACAAGGGGCTGAGGCCACACCCCAGAGCTGGTGGGGTCCCAAATGCTGGCATATAATATACACTGTGTGTTTCCTAAGTGCTAGATTTGTCCCACTGAAAGGATGGCCCTGTTCTCACAGCTGACACCCTCCCGCTTTCAGAGAGTGTAAAATGGCACAGATGGACTTCTTTTTATGCAAGTCCCTGCTGGACTGCCCACCGCCCACTTCCACATTTTGCAGAAACTTTTATTGCCCAGGAACTTGAAAAGTCTGCGAACTGCAGCTCCCAAATCCCAAACCTGGAGTCAGCAGAACTGCCTTTCACTGCCATACATCAAAAAGGTGATGATTAAAGGGGAGCCCCCTTTGACCGGCGTGGCGGGGCCACGCCAAGCCCAGACCCACGCGCTCCTGAGAAAACGGGGCCGACGCAGAAAGCCCAGGATGCACGCGGCTCTCTGACATCGTCACGCCTCCTCTTGGAGGCCCCACTGACCACTGATCAATGGCTGCCCCTCAAGGGAAACGGCCACCCTCCAAGGCCTACTCATGACACGGAGTGTGGGCTGAGGTCCCAGCCTTCCACGGGGAAAGGACCGGCTCCAGCCCCGGCTTTGATAAGTGAGCTGGAAGGTGGGGGCCGTTCCCTTGTTCTCTGGACCTTCATTTCCTCAGCGCTAGCGCGAGAGCTGTGAACCCTTTCCAGAACCCCTTCCCAACTGAGCACTGCCCCTTAGCGCAGACCCGGTTTCGATGGAAATCCAGAGACTGTGACATGAAGGATAAAGGCCCATGTGGCTTCTCCATTGGAGAAGCTGCAGATGGAGAAGCGCCTCCTTCGAGTTGCTGGGTCTGGGGCCACGTTTGTTGTAGATTTGTTTGTGCGGCTCTTTACAAAGGGATTCACTGCTTTGGGCCTTTTCTTAGCACGTTTTTCTTCTTACAAACAACAGCACTTTTTTCTAGTGCTAAATGATTAAACCAGAAAACCGCACAAGGAAAATGCTGCCTCGTGTAGGAACACAGAAAGGAAGAACTTCTTATGTTTTGTGTTTCTCAGAGGGCCCAGGCCTGCATTAGCACAGAACCTCAGAAACTCAGAATCTTCTTGTTAAAAAGCACCAGGCAGGGCACTTCCATCACGGGTCCTCAGACCACCCATGTCAGCAGCAGCATCCTAGAAACACACCTTTTCCAGGTTCCCCTCAAACCTGAGTAAGACTGTCCAAGGCTGAGGCCCAGGAGTCCACACAGTGTCATGCTCTGGTGACAGGTCAACCTGTCCCTCTTTACCATTCGTAAGAGGACACCAGAGAGCTTTGCCCGTAAGCCATCCAGGAAAGACACCAAAAGGGCAGGCTTGGGAGAGCAGGGCCTTAAAGGCATCATAGGAAAATCACTTCCTTGGGAACACAGGAGCAACTTCTTGCTAAGAGAATCCAAGGATGTTGGTTCCAAAAAACTGAACCTATTTATAAGAGCAGCTCTGCTTAATTTGATGGGGGAAATTTGGGAGTCTTTGGGACCGAAATCCTAACACATTCTCCAGGGTCGGATGAAAATTCTTATTCAGCTGGAGCGCAGGCCGCCATGAGGTTCTGAGTAACTCTTGAGCAATGGGGCGAAAAAGACGCAGTGTCCGCCAGTCTGTCTTTGTGGAACAGGGTGGAAGGACACCTGAAGCCTATGTATGGGATGTGTTTGCTTCCAGGTGGCGAGCTGGTTTGGGTTTAAAATGTATGATGGATCAGAATCAGGAGGTTCTTCCTGGTCAGTGAGACCTGGTCCTAAACGTGCCTTCGTCACCAGGGAGAAGCTCAACTTTTCTCCTTCGTAAGATTAAGCAGTTCGAGCGATGATTAGGCTCCCTCTGCCCTGCACGTCTTTGAGGAGAGAAGCCACTGAAAGACGGGGCCCTCAGAGGAAGGAGAGAGTGTGGGGGGTGGGGGCTGGAGTGGGGGCTGGACGGCGGACAGGGGTCGGCGGGGTGGGACAGGACAGGTGGGCGGCACTGCAGAGCTGACCAGCCAAGGTGAGGCGCACCCCTGTGCGCCTTCGTCCTGCTTATGCTGGTGACGTTTGACGACCAGACAGGCAACCGAATTGTGGACCCGGAAGCCACCACTGGTAAAGACACCCCCACACCACAGGAATGTCTTGCCTTCAGACCAGCGGCGGGAAGACAGACCAGGGCCTTTTGTTCATCTTTGATCCACTACACCCGTACGCTACTCCATTCTTTCTGTGAGGCCCCCTTTGAAAATATTTTGCGACGTTCTTTTCCCTCTTGCCCAGTAGAGCATCGGCTCTGGGTCGTACCCTCCGGTTGGAGCTGTCACCCAGTGGGAAGGGTCTTGCCTCCGCTGTCAACCCCCGCGGCCCCAGAGCACCCACGGCTGCGGCCGGGAGCAGGGCCGGGGGTGCCGCCCGCCGCCCACCGCACTGACCTTCTCCTGGTAGAGTTTGTGCAGCCAGGCTGAGCACTCGGCCTCGTCCTCCGGGACTTCTTCTAAAGGGATGCGCCTGCAAAGCAGAGGGCAGCTGGCAAGGAGGAGCCCCCACCAGGCGCCCCGAACACGCCTCCCAGCACAACGCCTGCCGTCCTAGGTCGCCCAGATGGCGGGGGAGTGAAGAGGGTGATCTAACTGACGAAAAGGGCGGGCGGGGGGATCCTCGTCTGTATCCGGGGAACGCAGGCCCGACTGCAGTCACGGCCCACGAGGGAGCGTTACCATCACTCGAGGAACAGCCTTGTGGAGGTAAAATGATCTTACACACACAGCTCAGGGCCTCCCCAGGCCCCTCGGGCCCAGCTGGCCGCTGCGTGGAGCCCCTGTCGGGTGTCACAGGAGCCGAGGGGACAGAACCTCCCTTTACTTCTAGGAGAGGGCTTCTGGGAAGGCGGGTGGTCTCTGGCCTTCTGAGTGAGGCCCAAGGCCGCTGTCGACCGCACCGTGAGAGAAGAAAACAGGAGTGGCCATGGTTCTTTCCTGTTCTCAGGGGGAGCCAGCTTTGTTTCCAGGTCATAAGCTATTTGACTGAGGCTGCCAGTCCCCCAGTACATCTCTCCGAGAGGTTCAAGCTTTAATCTTCATTGTGCTGCGTGGTAATTTAACATCTGTGACGTCTTTTAAAAAATACAGGCAGACGCAGAGATATTGTGGGTTCGGCTCCAGACCACCACAGTAAAGCGAGTCACACTGTTTTGGGTTTCCCATAAAGTTTATGTTGATGCTACACTGTGGCCTAGTAAATGTACAAATAGCATTATGTCTAAAAAACAATGTACATACCTCAGCTAGAAACACTTTATTGCTAAAAAATGCTGACTATCATCTGCACTTCAGTGAGTCATAATCTTTTTTGCAACAGTGACATCAAAGATCACAGATATAATAATAATGAAAAAGGTTAAAATAGAGTGAGAATTACCAAAACGTGTCACAGAGACATGAAGTGAGCAAATGCTGTTGGAAAAATGGCGTGGACAGATCTGCTCAAGGCAGGGTTGCCACGAACATTCAATTAGTGAAAAAAAAATGCGGTATCTGCAGAGTGCAATAAAATGAGGTCTGCCTGGAGTCAGAACATTCTAGAATCTCAGCTCGTCTCCAGTAAGGGGCACTTCAGGTCATCCTGGTCTGGCTTCAGGGAGACAGTCTGCCCCCTGGGAAGCCAGCGCCTTCCCCAAGCCTCCAGGTCGGGTTTCAGTGCGTGAATCACCATTGTTGCCCTGTCTGCAGGGCCTCCTAGCTGATTCCCCCTGACCTCGATGACCTTGCAGAAGACTAGGGTCAGACCCATTGATAAGTTGATCAAGAGGCATATCTAGTTTGCCTAATAGCTTGTGAAATGTTTTCAATAAAATAACAGCTTGGAATATAACACGTGAAATGCTAAAATGTTCTCCACTGGCTTCCAGGCCTCACTGTAAACTATAAACACAGGCTTTTCTCTGTATATATTTCTGGGGAGTAAACACGTCCTCCAAGAAAAGGGGTCGATAAAATCAATTCTCACACTCAGTTCAAAAATGACTATAAAATACTGTCTTTTTGTTTGTCGGAGCTCTTTGATGAGAATGAATCTGTGGGAGACTCAGGAAGTGGCCGGGCAGACCAGAGGCTTCACCGAATGACTTACAATGGCGCACAGGTCTCTCTTAACATAAACACGACTGTGGACATGTTCGAGTCAGCATAGACTGCCGACCAGAAAATATTCATAGCTTTCCCCGCAAGAAGGGCTGCGGGTCGTTTGTGATGTATTTGGGACGGGCACGCTATCTTCTGGAAAGGAGATGGAGCCAACTTACCTAACGTATAAATCTGCGTGGTATTTCTTTCCATTGAGGACTCCCAGCAGTGTTGGATTTTCATTATTTCTGAAATTGAGTGTACAGTCATATACAGCTGAAACTATAAAAAATAAAACAAATACAAGGCAGTATAGAGCGTGCGAACCCAGTTTCATTTTGCAGATACACACACTGGAAAACAGTTATCACATTGCTAGCTGATTATCCTGGGATGAAGGGGCTATGGGCTTACTCTTCATGCTTTTTCTACACCGTCCAAATGTTCTGCATTAGCACACACCACATCCTGTCACCAGAAAAGCGCACTGTAACTTAGTAACGGAAAACAGAATTATCACGGAGGTCAGATCAGTTTAAAGCGATACTGCAGTGTCCCAGCCAGAAGTCTACAACAGGTGCCAATATTTAAACAAGGATCACTGGTAAGACAAATCAACGCAAAGAATACTATCTAAGGATGTGTCTGAGTTAGGGCAACATAACCATCCCATGCACTCTCTTTCCCTAAAAACTAAGATAGTTATCAAAACTTGAATAAGATAACTGGAAAACTCCCGAGGAACTGAACGATAGTCAGTTGAAACATGGCGGAGAAATAAGCAAGAATCTGTGACTTTAATCCATCCATCAAACGGTGAGCGACCCTGTCAGCGTGTGGGAAGTACGTCAGACGTCACTGCTGCAGCCCCAGGACCTGGCCAGGCTCGATGAGTGCTTCCTGGACGGCAGGACAGGAGGACGCGTGAAAGAATGAGGATGGAGGAGCAGGGCAGACATGGGAGTGGGGACAGCGTCAGGAAGACGGGGCTGGACAGAAAGAACCGGAGTTTTGGAGTCAGTCCGGGTGCGGATCCCAAGGCCACCGTTTCCCAGATGTGGGATCTCCTCTCGGACAACCTGTCAGCCTCCTGGAGCCTGGTTCTCCCGGAGAAGTGGACTCCCGGTGACATCAGCACTGCCCAAAGGGCCTGGCACAGGGCTTGTGCTCCTGAGACTTTACTGAGAGCTTCGGAGACCTGCTGTTGCTGCCCACAGCGCGAGCGTGGTGGCAGAGGATGGAGAGCCATCTGGTCTGGCTGGGAAGAGGGGGAAGACTCACGATTCAGGATTCAAAAGCCACCATCCATTTTCTTCTACCTGCTGCCTGACCACCATGTGGGCTCTCCAGGGGCTGTTCTAGCAGCTCGAGCGTCTCAGTCAAGGGGAGAGGGTCCCACTGATGGGCAGGAGAGCCGGCCCATAGCTCCCACCCCGTCGCCCCAGGGACCCGAGCCTGCTCTCCTGTCTTCCAGCTGGTGGAGAATAACCTTCAAGGTGATACACCGTCCAGCCTTGTGGAGCATATGGTGACACAGAGTGAAAGGTGTCCAGGCCGCGTGGGGTTCGGCTGTGGGGTCGCAGGTTTGGGAGCAGGAGAGGGCAGAGCTCGAGTCTTCAGTGGGTCTTGCTGGCCATTCTTACGTGGGGGCCTAACGCTTGCAACAGTGGTGAGGGTGACTTCAGTGAATCAAGGATGGGGGACAGCCCCAGGGGCACCCGGGCAAACACCCTGAATTTGCACAGTTGCCTCCTTTTCCAGAAAAATCCCAAGGTCTTGAAGTGACAGGAGCGGGCCAGGCACTGGAGCCATGTGCCTGCAGAGCCCGAGAGGGACAGAAGCCCCCCACCAGCCCGCAGCCTGGATGGGACCCCAGCCTGCCGCGTGCTAGCGGAGTCCCTGGAAAGAGGTTCCTCATCGCCCAGCCCCAACTTCCTCATCTCTAAATTGGAAGTAAAAAAAAAAGTTTCCTTCAGTGCTTCTGGTAGGCACACACTTAGGCTGGGCTATCTGTGAGGTGCTTTCACCGCCGGGCGAGTCAGAAGTGCCCTGCTGTTACAACTATGATTATGGTTATGATTCGGAGGCTGGGACAGTCTGCAGAGCTGGGCAGCCTTGCCCCTTCAGCCCGTAGGCAAAGCTCAGTCAGGGGGTCTCACTGGTCAAACCCAGACGGGGAAAAGCAGAACTGGACGCTGGCCACCCTCACCTGGAAGAGAAGGTGAGGGGCACAGGGTCAGGAGGCGACCCTTGACCACAGCCCACCGTGTGATCAGGTGTTCATTACGTGCCACGCCTGACGCTGAGTCTGTCCCAGAGTTCTCACTGAAGCCTACTTGCAACCCTAAGAGGTTTTACAGAAAAGCAAACTTAGGATCCATCCGAGAGGGGAGGTGACTTGCCCTGGGTAGCACAGCCGGTGAGCGGAGGAGCCAGGCCCGCCACCAGGCCTCCTGAGCACCTGGCTCCGCTGGGTGGCGCGGCTGCTCACAGCTGTGTCTCGGAGGTTGGAGGAGCAGCAGGTGGGCATCCTTGTCCTGGTTGCTGGGGTCAGGTGTGGGGCGGCAGGGAGCTCACTGACAGGCAGGTTCTAGTCTTTGGGGTGAATCCAGAGACAGACAGGCCTGCAGACAGACAGCTGGTGGCCCTCTGTGGCCCGGTTCCTTTGGGAGGCCTGGGCAGGGCAGACAGAGCATGGAGGCGGCCACGCCTGGCAGGACCTTGGTTCTGCAGGCTCCTGGGTCTCCAGGACCCTCTGACCTTTCCTCTGCCCCCGGTGCTGTGAGGATTAGAGGTGGTGATGCAGGCAGCACGAGGACAGTAAGGAGCAGCCCGGGGATGGAGGGGCAGGAAGGAAGCAGAGGAAGAATCTGCACGGAGAGAAATCAGAGTTGCCCGGAGCAGTCACGGGCCTGCAGGCTCTGCACGTGTTAAAGTCAGACTCCATCCGCAGGAGCCGGGGTGGCCAGGTCTGCGTGTTCACAAAGCTCCCGGTGGTCCTGCCGCCCCCAGGTGTGCTGACAGCACCGCAGACAGGGCGCCGTCCACGCCCGCATCACCCCACCCAAATCCCCAACACAGACAGGCAGGCAGAGGGTGGAGCTGGGCGCCCAGAGACCACGTTTGGCAGCCTGGACTCTCCCTGCAGGATGTCAGCCTCGGCTGGCGCACAGCCGGCACCGGGGACATGTAGAGGCCCGTGGGCCCTGAGCTCCACCCGCCCCACCGCCCTGGAGACGAGGGACAAGGGCAGTGGGCTTCAGGCAGCTGCAGGGCCAGAGAGTGAAGAGCACAGCGTTTCCAAACTGAAGAGACGAAGACAAAATACTGGAAACAAGTTGTTTTTGTTGCTACTTGCTTCTCATTCTCACCTATGGTAACTTGGGGCTTCAGATTCAGGGCCAGCCAGACAGACAACAAGGTCACAGAGCTCATTGGCTGGAGGCGGGGGGGGGGCAAGAGATGGGCAAGAAATGTCAAACAAAGCAAAACAACAGATACCTGGGCTAACCACAGCCCTGCAGTACCTGCGCCGAGCAGCAGAGGGCAGTGTTGGCTCAGCATGCATGTCAGCGTGTGTTTGTGGTGTCTGCGTGCACGTGGTGTGTGCGCGCTCGTGCAGGCAGGGGCCACTCCTCCAATGCCGGGCGCCCAGACCCTGGCCAGCTGGGTGTGGTGCCAGCCTGTGTCCCTGGCTTCCCTCCAGCCTGCTCGCCATGGTCAGCTGGGGGACCTGCCAGGGGAAAGGCTATTCCTGTGGGTCCTGGGGCTGGGCTCCCCTCCCCGCAGGGAGGGGGACACGGGGTCGTCCTTACCTACATTTCTCAAACTCCTCACGGTGACGGCGAAGCCCTTGGTGCGAGGCAGCAGGTGGTGCTTCAGGCTGGGCAGCCCCTTGGCCTGGGCCACCTGCATGCTGATCTGGTGCTTCTTCTCCGTGAACCGGGTGCCCTCACAGTGGATCAGGAACTGGAAGGGACAGGTGGCCGGAGAGAAAGGGTTCACATCTGAGGAGGCTTAGGAAGCAGAGGGGTGTATGTGTGTGTGTGTGTGTGTGTGTGTGTGTGTGTGTGTGTGTGAGACG